TGCCACATGGGTACATGCTATTCCCGCCATCTCTCCACTCCTAGTGCGCGAGTAGCCTTTCTCGTAATAGAATAGCCAAGTTAAGGCTTACCGGAGTATGCGGTTAGTACTATAAAGTCTCACCTCATGCAATTCAACAACGGACGGACCTTAATCGACACAGGTGGAAAGAACCCGCTCACAAGACCTCAATGTCTTGTGGCTGACACACACCAAGTCCGCCCGGTCTAGATTTATTACTCCACATTCCCATATCACATGATAACATAAGTAACCAAAGTTCCATTTAAAACTTGCAGGTGACAGATAATCACCCGACTTTGATCGGTCTAAGCATAGCTAAGCATAACTAGGCATATACGAATTTTAAACTGGTAACAAGGTAGATATGGAACAACAAGGTTGGTAATGCAACAGTTAGGTTTGCACTCAACTCCTAATCACTTAATGCAGTAAAGAAAAGCAAAAGCGAAATCAATTTGTAAAACACAAGGTAGGTTTAAATGCATCTAGGGCTTGCCTTCGTTGACGGAAAAGTCCGGGTCCGGAGCCGTTCCACCGATATCAACACCAACCTCCATAGACGGATCAACCTCCTCAACTACTTGATTAACTACCATGTGTTCACCTTCGTTCACTACATGTAGTAACAATGCCATGTTTAACATGATGCGGAATACGAAACATGATGCTTGATGATGGATGCAAAATTAACAACTTGAATACAACTTTCCTTCGCGGTACAGTTACAAGTTAAACTAACTAAACAATTTTCGCAACACTCACATCAATTGCCAAGGATCATCACCAACTAATGACCCAAGGACATTACTCAATCAAAAACTCAAACAAAACCTAAATTACTAAAGGATACTATTTGCTTTTATGAATTAATTAATTAATTAAGAATTATGAAATAAATCAACTTGTTCCAATTGTCCTCAAATTTCTTTTGTAAATGTTCATCACATGATAACTAAGTGACAAAACAATTTTCATAATTTTTTGGATACATAAATAAGCCTAGAAAAATTCTGGAAACTCATTTATTAATTAATTGAGCAATTTTTATCACATTCAAAAAGTACTGAAAAACAACATTTCATATTTTTCCTAAATAATATACATCACATAGAGGTCACAAAAATTTTCATAATTTTTGGAGCTCTAAATAAATCTACACAAAAATAACAAAAACAGATACTATTCATTCATTGCTGAAAATAGAAAATTCTATTTTGAACTACACACGATCGACGACACCGGGTCCCCCTGTCATCCCCAACCTCCGGCTTTGACCATGACGGCGATGACGGCAATGACCGGCGCTTAACTCACCGACGGTGAGTCCAACGGCGACGGCCAAAGTACCAAAACACTCTCAACAACATGGCGCATCGATTGGAGACACTAGCTAACTCAATCACGGCACGAATCAAGGCTGACGCCGGCCATGGCGGACGCGGTGGCACAGCAGCGCTACACCGGCGACGTGAAACCAGTAGAGCTTAAACAAAGGATCCAGGAAGCACCAGTAGCTCACCCCGAACGCGTTGAAGCAAGGAGCGAGGTTGGAGAAGCAACCGAGAGGCGTGACGACCACGGTGATCACGGCGGAGCAAAGATCGTCGGTGAGGGAGAATCGGCGACTGCAGTGATCAAAACGAGCAAGCAACAAAGGATTAAGCACCACAGCATCGAGACGAAGCCGTAGGTACACCAATCACGGGCAACGGCTCACCGAAGGATGCTAGCCGTGGAGAAACGGAATCTCGGGTGAGGTGGCTGGCCGCGAGGAAGAAAGCGATGAACGGCGAACTCACGGCGAAATCAATTGACCAGAGCTAGCTGGCTGGGTGCGCAAGGAGTAGGCGAAGCTATCTAGCGCTATGCCGCGACGGCGAAGACACTACCGCGACGGTGCGAGCTCGCCGGAGATGAGCAAGGTGACGGGAAAACAGAGGAGGAAACGGCAAAGACGATGGCGGCTCAGGTTATAAAGGATGGCCAGTAAGCGCAAGGAAGCCATGGCGAAGCCATTTCCCTCGCCAGCGCGACGCCCCGACGGCCACGCGCGCGACACGAAGCAAGCCGAAGGATCGCCGGCAATGTAGCAAGAGCAGTGAACACTGTTCATCGAAATTACAGAATTGCCATCTAGTTTAAAAATCCAAATTACTCCTAAATTTGTATAACAACTCAAAAATCTCCAAAAATAAAAGTTGTTCAAAATCAAAAGTTCTACAACTTTGCTTTTATAACCAACCCCTAATTCGGTCCACATTTTGAAATGAACTTTTGAATTCAAATAGGGGACATTTAAGGAATTTCGCCTTTTCAAATAACTTCAAATTTTACTAAACAACTTGAAAAACTCCAAAAACAAACTTTGTACAACTCAACAAGCTCTACATTTTTCCTTTAAAGCTCAACCCCAAAATATGCTTCGATTTTGAAATGGGTTTTTCCAGGTCAAAACTTAAATGCTAAAAATCAGGGTTTTTCGGAAATCCAAATCAATACAAAAGTTTTGAACGTTATTAAGGAAGAATTTGAATTGGTTAATAGATTCCCACATCAAAATTCACAAAGTTTCCTAATCATTATTATTAACATTATTTCATGTAACATATAAAACACTCCATAAAATAACATTTGCATACTATAATATAAACATGAAATGCATTCATGAGTTGATGCATGATGATTATGCATAATGATGACATGATCACCTTATTAAGTACTTTATAACATCAGGGATGTTACAATTGGCCATGTCCATTTCTTTCGTTGCACTTTCACTTTTAACCTTTATATCTTTTCTATTCATCATGTTCCAATAAATAAATATGGAAAACAAAGAATAAAGAAAGGCCTTCGAACCTTTATTTTTTCCTAAAAACTAAAAGTTTTCATCGCCAAGTTATTGATGCAGTTTTGATTTAGAACAAAACTTATCTTATAAGAACTTGCAGCGTTTCGGCTGAAACGATCGTGGATTATTACTGCTGGCTGGTTTGGTGTGAGAGAAAAATACTATTCTGGCTTATAATCCACGATCGTTTACTACCAAGCAAACAGGCTCTTGGTTGAACTGATGGTCTAACTAATCAAATACGAACTAATATCTTGAGGTGTTTGTGGTTAGTTCGGTCTAAATAAATTTGTCTCGACTATATGCATGCACCAGTGTAACACCTGACGAGTCCGGCAACATGGAAATTAGAGAGAGGTCACCTGCCATAATTATCGGTGAGCAGACCAGTACATGACACATCGACAACTAACTTCTTGTCGACTTGAACTAAAGAACCTCAACGAAAGTCACGAAACTTGATATTTAATTGTAACAAAGCATACATAGTATAAAATTGAAGTTATGATATATTTATAGCTTCTAAACTTATAAAGGGATATACACACACATAATTTATGTTATCGTTTTCCATTACAATTTGATAACTTATTTTCTCCCGTTGCAACGCACGGGCATATTTGCTAGTCAAGATTTAAACTCCAAAATCTTTGATCAATAATTTAAGTAATAATTTTTAATTATTATAACACAAACTTGATATGGTTAGATTTTTAATTAAATCTACTATCCAGATATCATAAGTTTATAAATGTAAATAAAATAATTATATAGTCAAAGTGTAATTTTGAAGACCGTGCCATTTGAGTTTTGCCTTATAAAAGAGAGCGGAGGGAGTATTATATAAAAGATGACAAAAATACTCCCTGAAGTTTACTGGAAATTAGCCACCATTGCCATCACCTACCCAAACTGGTAAAAGCATTTTTATATATTAATAACATTCAAAGGCAGAAATCCAGCCCCACAATTTAGGATCCAAAAAGCTCCCATCAACCATGATCTAACAACAAAATTCATAAGCTTGAAGAAGTCACCACGCCACAGGTGTCTCGATGCCACTGAAAAAATAATGCCATAAAATTCTAAAATAAATTCAAAACAATATAAACACCCGTGTCAAATTAAGAACTTAAACTTAGATGACAATGTTTTACTATAAAAATGAACCAGCTGCTCATATCGTTTTACGATGTAGCTGTAATCTGAGTGGATCCAAATAGAGCACATTAATTTATGGAGACCTATCGATTTTCCTAGCGTCTCTATCATGGATTGAGCAGCGTATTGTGCTCTCCTTCCTCCAAATAGTTGGGTGATGACCGGTGATGGTTGCACCTACTGATTTGATTATGACGTGATGGCAACTCCGCTTCGACTTAGGCGCTTCCAGTGTGTAAAGTTTTAGGAGTGTCGCATTAAGTGTTTCAATACTAATAAAATAACAAATTATAGAATCCGTCAGTAAACCGCGAGACGAATTTATTAAACCTAATTAATTCGTCATTAGCGCATATGTTACTGTAGCACTTTATTATCAAATTATGAACTAATTAAGTTTAAAAGATTCGTGTCGCAGAGTATGTGCGATTAGTTATTTTACGATGAATGATGAGGCGGCCACCTCGATTCTGATCTGCTGAGACGCAGAGTACAGAACTACAGATTTTATGCAGGAGATAGCTTTATAAAATGCCGACGGCCCCGCACATACCAGCCTTGTCACGCTCCTTCTCGGTTCTCACCATCGCGCAGCCTCCTCTCGGCTCTTTGGCCACTGTCGGCGCGAAGGTGATGTACGTGATGGAGGAGGGGTTCGTGGAGGTGGACATGAACGCCGGAGACGAGCCGGCTGCTTCCCCCACCGTAAGAGCCACCGTCGTGCAGGCCTCCAGCGTCTTCTTCGACACCCCGGCCACGGTCGGTACGTGCCAATTCGGTGCTTCTCAATGAGCTTTCACTCTACAGGAACGTTACCGCAGAAACTTTTGCGTGCGCGTCTGTGGCTCTGTGCCAGTAAGGTTGCTTGGCCTAATTTCTTCTTCGTTTGGACCTAGAAAGAGGATTTGATCTCTGAAGAGAGCCAGGCTACTACTACTGCTACTTAACCTGTTTTTATCTTCAGAGAAAGCGAAGAACCTGATAGCAGAGGCTGCCGAGCAGGGCGCGCAGCTGGTGGTGTTCCCGGAAGTCTTCGTCGGCGGTTTCCCCCGTGGCAGCGACTTCGGAGTCACCATCGGCGGCCCCCCGCAGGCAAAAGGGAGGAGGGGGAAGGACCTCTTCTGCAAGTACTACGCCTCCGCCATCGACGTCCCCGGTAAGCTCTGATCCGTAGACACGAGTACCGTTTACATCCGAACATGAGAATCCGTGACAACGACGCAGGTCCCGAGGCGAACCTCCTGGCCTCGTTCGCCGCCAAGTACAAGGTGTACCTGGTGATGGGCGCGGTGGAGCGGCACGGGGGCACGCTGTACAACACGGTGCTCTTCTTCAGTCCGGCGGGGGAGCTGCTCGGGAAGCACCGGAAGCTGGTGCCCACGGCGCTGGAGCGCGTGCTCTGGGGGTGCGGGGACGGCTCCACGCTCTCGGTCTACGACACCCCGATCGGCCGCGTCGGCGCGCTCGTGTGCTGGGAGAGCAAGATGCCGCTGGCCCGGGCCGCGCTCTACGGCAAGGGCCTGGAGATCTACTGCGCGCCCACCGCCGACGACTCCGACCTCTGGCAGGCGTCCGCGAGGCACGTCGCGCACGAGGGCGGGTGCTTCCTCCTGTCCGCCAACCAGTTCTGCCGCAGGAAGGACTACCCGCCCCCGCCCGAGTACGCCTTCACCGGGTTCGATGAGGAGCCCGCGCCGGACGACGTCCTCTGCCGCGGCGGCAGCGTCATCGTCTCGCCGTCCGGGGCCGTCCTCTCAGGACCAAAGTACGACGGCGAGGGACTCCTCACGGCCGATCTAGGTGCGTAGTAGTATTGAGGATCGAGAACCAACTCATCTGGCTGTTCATCACGGCACGTCTTTGTGCGCTGACACGTTCGCTGTGTGCCGTGTGCAGATTTCAGTGAAATCGTTCGGGCCAAGTTCGACTTCGACGTCGTGGGGCACTCCTCGCGCCCTGAGGTGTTGACCTTGGTCGTCAAGGACCAGGCGCAGCTCCCTGTGATTTACAATTCTGCCTCTCAAAATTAAAGGCTTCATCATAAAAGTTATAATTTTATTGTGAACTTAAGGTTGTAGATTACATTGTTAAATACAATTCTTATATGTTATCTTCATTCATGTGTGACTATATAAAAAAAACTTATAATTTTTTAACTATGTGCTACATAAGGGTGTAAATAAAGTGCCTCGACTTATCCACTAGTTAGTGCAACATATTTTAGAAAAATCATAATTGTTTCATATAACCTCATATAGGGATAACATTTATATAAATATTGTGGGCACCTAAAAGATCTGCAATTTTGTAGTTTACAATATTTCCGTTTAAAGCCATATTTTGTAGTTGACAATATTTTCGCTTAAAGCCATATCGATACCAAAATAATCAATTTAGCGTTCAGATCTACAAATAGATATATGAACATATGTATCTTTCATATAATTTTATCTTTATCTGAATTCATTTAGAAAAGTTATGATTTTTTAAGATGAGTTGACAGAGAAAAGAAAACACCGCCAATTCAACTAGCGGTAAGTGCTTCCTTCCGGTTCAATCGGCGGCACTAATACAGTTTTGCAAAAGTTTGGTTTGGATAAGTTTTTTTTAAAACGAAATTTAAAAAATAATAATAAAGGCCATCTGTAGGGATGATGTGCTTGGCTGATGATCCTCTCTGACAGTACTACATTAAAATGGGCTTGGCTTGAAAGGCAGCAGGTAGAAAGTCAGCATCTTGAATTATCATGGGCCAACAGGAAAAGGCCCAATAAGCCTGGCCTTCGCCGGGAACACTGACTCAGGTGTGCATCAGTCAAGCTTCTGCCACGAAGGAAAGGAAAACAATGTCGAAAGCTCATAAATCTAGCTAAAGCGACTTTTGCTCTCAGTGATGGCCGCCATGTGTGGCGCTTAGATGATTAGATCCTCCATACAGTGGCGGAGCTAGAGATTTATAGAGGGGGTGCGGCCGTACAGGCTAGCGACAAAGCAATAATGGCCTGCTACCGTTCACAAAATTGTCTGAATTTCGTTATTACAACTTAAAAAAGAACATTTTTTTTTAGCGGAGCAGTGTTTTCTTTGACAATTCAATTAAAGACAGCAGTGTTTTTCAAGCCAATTTTTCAGCCAAACTGGCCAATGTAACCGTCAGCACCATATGTAACAATGTAACTTAACAGCACCATAACCAAGGTTTTAGCATGAATAGTTTAAAACAAGCAATAATGATGTACATCAACCATAAAGAAGCGGTAATAGTGCATTAGTGCATACCGTTCACCAAAATATAGTTAGAGAATTTCACAATTATAACAATTAACAAAAGATTGTCGGCGTTGACAAAATGCAATCCTATACCACAAAATCCTCACCTGCCTGTAGAAAAAGAAACGAACTATTCATTTCAAGCAAAGAATCTATAGAAATGCATAATTGAGCAATTGAAAATAGATGCATTACCTCTTATAGATCAAATCTACACCTTTTTTCTTCCATGTTCATGAAGTGACGAAGCACGGCTTCATTTGTAACTTTCTTTAATCTTCTTTCTCCGCATAGCAAATAAGTCTACTTTCCATGATTTTCCTAGCATCCACAAGAATATTTAAATTTTAGGCCTAGTTTAAATTCAGGGTATAAAGTTTGGGATGTCACATCGGGTATCACATAGGGGTGTCGCATGAGGTGTTTGGATTCTAATAAAAAAAACAAATTACAGAATCCGTCAGTAATTCGCGAGACGAATTTATTAAGCCTAATTAACCTGCCATGAGCACATGTGTTACTGTAGCACCACATTGTCAAATCATGGACTAATTAGGTTCAAAAGATTCATCTCGCAAATTAGTCGCAAACTATGTAATTAGCTATTTTTAGTCTATATTTAATACTCCATGCATGTGTCCAAACATTTGATGGAATAGGGAGTAAACTTTAGGGGGAGAAACTAAGAGGGTGTTTGGTTCCACCTCCTAAACTTTAGTCGTTGTCTCATCGGATATTTGGACACATGCTTGGAGTATTAAATATAGACTATTTACGAAACTAAATACACAGATTGAAACTATTTTGCGAGACGAAATTTTTAAGCCTAATTACTCCATGATTTGATAATATGGTGCTACGATAACATGTGCTAACGACAGATTAATTAGGTTTAATAAATTCGTCTGACGGATTACTGATGGATTCTATAATTTGTTTTTTATTAGTATCCAAACACCACATGCGATACCTCCATATGACACCTCCTAAACTTTAGTCGCTGGATCAAACACCCCCTAAACAGAGCCTTAATTACTTTGTATAGAAAGAACAAAAATTACTAACCCTAAAGGCCTAAAATATGTACAAAACTAACAAGACTACTGGCTACAAGAGTCAAGATGACAGCGACAAGAACCTTGTGCCTGTTTAGTTTCTAAAATTTTGCAAAATTTTTGAAGATTTGCTGTCACATCGAATCTTTGGACGCACGCATAAAGCATTAAATATAAATAAAAAATAAAACTAATTACACAGTTTAGACGAAATTCACGAGACGAATCTTTTAAGCCTAATTAGATTATAATTGGACACTAATTGCCAAATAACAACGAAAGTGCTACATTACCATTTTCCAAAAAAATCGCCAACTAAACGAGGCTCTTATTAAATTGTTGGAACTTTGGGTCTGTTTGGTACAGCTCACAAAGCTGTTGTGAGCTGTTTAATTTACTAAACACATGAAGCTGTAGTGAGCTGTTTTATTTGCTAAACACTCATTTTTAAAATAGCTTTATCTATGAAGTTGTTTTTCTCCCCTCTCACGAAGGCATGGGTTAAGATGAAGGTAAAAAAAAGTAGCTTAGCCTAGCTCTCTTTCTCATTTCTCTCTTCCATCCATGCATGAAATTGTTGATGAAGCTGTTTTGTCAAATAATTTTTCTAAAACAGGTCAGTTTCACCTAAAAAGGTGGTTAGAAAGCTATTTTATAAAAAAACAAACTTTACTAGTGAAGTTAGCCGTGCCAAACCGGCCCTTTATCAGTCTCACGGTCGGATGAACAGGGACAAGCAGTCAGGCAGAGAACTGAACAGGGTCACTGGGAGGCGGGCGAACTGCTAGCTAGTTGCTTGCCGCCGTGCGCGTGCAGACCTGCTGCGCTGCGCCCAGCAGCAACTACGCCGCGGGCCACCTGCCGGCGACCGGCGTGCCGCAGCTGTCGTCGCGTCGTGCGTGGATTTGAGTCGGGGAAACGAAACGACGGGGACGCGGAGGAATACGAAAGAGAGAAGTCCGCGGGAGCTGGAGCGACGAAGCGTGCAGTCGAAGATTCAGGCGCCGCCAACGCTTACGCAGGCTGTTGTGGGCTCTCCGAGATTGGCTGTGTGTGCAGTTGTTTGGGCTGGATGGCTGCGAATAGGGTAAATTTCTGCATACTACAAAGCTTTTTGGATTTTGGTCTGGGTGCGGCCGCACCCAGTGTGGGCTACATGGATCCGCCCCTGCCTCCATATGCATATAAAGCCCCCATAATGTTATTCTTAGTAATTAATGTAAAACCCGCACTTGTAAAAAGAGGTGTATGGAAGAAAAAAACGAGACAATAGATCACTAGGTCATAAATGATTTTCAGAGATGTTTCATTTTTAGGTAGAGGTAGCTCTTTAAAAAGCCATCTCTAAAAAAATTTCAAAAGATCACTCTCATCAAAAATTGATTTCTAAAAATACCTTATATTTTTCAGAGGTCGTTGACAACACTAGCCATCTCTAGAAATCGTTTTTAGGGTGTTGTCAAGAACCTTTGGAAATAAATGATATTTTTAGAAACCAATTTATATAATTTGTAAAGATGGTTGACAATGCCCTTAAAATAGGTGCAACACAGAGGATCATATCTTTTCAAATCAAGTCGTAAGACAAAAATCATATCAAAGTTGTAGAACTTGAATATATCTACATTTTTATAGCTAATGACTTTCTTCATCTAAAATCGTTTTGAGCCCCAAAATTATGTTTTAAGTTCTTAGTTTTGAATTTATTTTTTTGAGCTCGGATGGAGAGACACCCTAAAACATAGTTGTAGTGTTCAACGAGAAGTAAAACTCTACGGTTCAAACTTTTTGTATTCAATAGAAAAGCCATGGAGGTTAATAATATATGATAGTATCTTACATTTGGTTATAAAAGACCATGTGGTGCAGTGCTACAGGGGGCTTTACATGATCAGTGATCCTATGGTGGGCTTCTCATGGGATTAAAAGAAAGGTTTTGCTATATTTCATGAAAGTTTTTTTTTTAAGAAAATAATTTTTAGCGGTGGGGATCATGTTACAACCTGTCTCGTAAACCGTTTTCATAGCGGCGGATGCGTATGTACGCATGTGCGTACGATTCATCATGCATGCATGCATGGATGGGTCGTGTAGTTCCTTTTCCTTTTGACGAAACGATGGGTGTAGTGCACGTCGGTGTCAATCAAAGATACATCTGGACCATCTCAAATCCTGAACGAGTTAGGTTAACAACAAAGCACACGGGCCACACCATGGTGCAGTGGAGTGGAAAACAGAACAAACGGGTAACAGCCTAACAGGTAGCCTATAGATAACTTAGGCGTGACTCCTGGTCCTGGAGCTCACCTGCTACAATTTTACGTCACCCACTCCATGACGGATCAATAGCATGTTTTCTAGAGGAGCAGCAGCACCTTTTCGTGTCCAAATTAAGTACGTATGCTTCGTGCAATGATCATTTGTGAGCTAAAGCAACAACCCTCTCACGGTCTCTCTCACCGCACTGGGAAAATCTTTAGAGGCCTTTAGCCATGTCCGCATTAAAGCTTGGCACGCCTTTCAAACTTTCAACTGAGCATTGACGGTCACGGCCCGAACGGCACGGAGCGGAACTGTTCAAGGACGTAGCAGCTTCGAATTGCTTACCGGCTCCCGAACTGATAAGGTGACATATCGGGTACGTTTGGTACTGCTTCAATAGAGCTGTTTTTGTGCGTGCCAAGTGCCAACCAAATGCTGATCGG